CGAAATCATGTAAAAGAAAGCTCTGACTATAAAAGGAGAAAGCACAAAATAGCTAGTGCTCTGTTTGTGTACTGCAGGACAAAAAATAAATTTGCTTCACGGAACATAGGAGAATTTACATATTATCACAGCTGCCAGTTGTTTGAAGAGTTTGGCCTATAAGGTCCTTCCTAATGATAGTATTCTATGTTCCTGATTCTAAAGAACTAGGAGGAAAATATTTCATACAAGTGAGGAAAATGGCATAAAAAAATAACATATTAAAGAAAATGAATAGAAATATTTCATTTCATTTCTAAAATAGAAAAACATATTCCTAAAATCAGAGAAAACAGGAAAAATAGCATATTCCTAAAATCATCAGGAAGAAATTGGTTCAATTAGAATGTTTCCATTGACGAGATATTCAGACTGTCAATTGTCATGGATTCAGATATGATGCCTATTACTTATGATGCTATTTATATTAGCAGCTTCTATGTGGTTGGTGTGAGTTCCTAAAAGGTATCCATCTGAGGTTCTCCTGGAAGTGCAGAAAGCCATCTCAGCAGCAGACCCAAAGAATCAATATATGTTTAGAACCTTTCCACGTGGCATGTCAAAATCAGCATTTCCCCAACCATCTTTCACATCCAAAAACACAAACAGACATGCACACAGTCTAAGCTCCTACATACAGCTTTAAAAGATGTCATTAGAAGAAACCAAATTGTTTCCTTCTCTTTTACTAAAAAAGCTTTTTTAAGTGGCTTTTTACAAATTTGATTGTATTAATAGAACACTTTACTGGCCAGCTTCAGTGGAAATCTTTACATGTGGAGAACTATTAAACGGTCTCAGTATAGGGGGCCAGGGTGGTTGGGAGCCATAGAAAAGGTACTATCTTATTATTTAAATATCTTAGACAAGAAAAGCAAAAGACTGTGGATGATTCTTCTCCCCTTTCATTTGGAAGTTATTTGTAGACTTTCCTTTGTTCCATTGAGAAATAAGAGAAAAAAAATATGAAGTTACAGCAAACCCATATGGCCAGCAGGAAAATCCTGTTTAATTGCTTTATTGCAAGAAACGTTAAATCACTTCCTGAGGATGCAGTTCAAATGAAACATATGGCAACTATTAATAAAAGCCCCTAATGAATTCAAAAATATGTCTTTTATGGGAGCTTTCTCATAAGCATCAATCATACATGTTATTTAAATCGTATATACAAATAGGCATTTGGTGTTTTAGTTCCACAAATGTTGATGAACACCTACTCTGTACCATATTATATAATCAGCTTGTGTGAAATTTTATTTCTGAGCCCAGAACTAGATATGACACGATGGGACCTCAGGACATGGACCCAAATCTATCCAGGTCTCTTCTCAGACACCAAGGACGAGAAGAATCCCCCAATCAATGCCTCCTGCCCAAGGGTTTCATGTCCAAGAAAACCATTCCATTTCTACTTGGATAGTACTAATGATCTATATTCTTCACACTCTTTTTAATGCCAAACCAGTGATGTGGCTAATCATTCGCATTCAGCATCCATTCTTTGCCTTTTTTGTAACTTCTTTAATTAGATTATGAATTCCACAAAGAAGAAAACTTTCCTAAGAGTTTTTGTATCTAGGATAATGTGAGGCATGTAATTAAGAATTAACAATCAGCTTTAACTAACTGTAGAGAAAGGGTCAACATTTTTTAATTGTTCCTAATGCCGTTCATCTCTGGAAAATTTCAGAAATTTAACAATTTAATACATTTATTCATAAACAACTTTCTAGAGAGACAATTCTCCCTCAAATTCAAAGATAAACCATTGGAGGAATATCCACCTGTTATCACTATCTGGTTTTACTCTTAAAAAGAAGTTATAAAATTCTAGGAATACTACACTTTGACTATCCTTTCTCTACATTGTAATATGGTCTTTGAAGTTATGTAGTGGAAGTGAGCTTTGGTAGCTTAAAAATCATGCAGAGTGTGGTGAGATTCTAAAGTAACTGACACTGGCTACATGACATATGGACATTGGCCATAAGGAGGCTAAAATATATTTTTGCTTGATACCCCAACTCACTGATTATCATTTTTATTAAATACTTACTTACACGTGCTTGGTTATATACTTTTGAAATCAAATAAAATATAGAAAAAAGACTTGTTTTTGTCACTGGTCAACTTGTGATTTGGGGCAAAGCATTCAACTTGACTTAAATGTGTTTGCCATGAGAAGAGAGGGCTTCTTTAGAGAATGTCTAAATGTCCCATACAAAATATTCCTGTACAGGTATTTTGTGTTCTAAGTAAATGTCTTATCATAAGACCAATCCAAACTTTTTTCCTCCTTCATTTCAAAATAAGTCTGTTTAGTGTGGCTCAGAGGCCAGCATGCCCGTGTTGTACCTTGCTTCCATTACTGACAGTATGACCTCACAAAAGTTACTTTACATTCCAGGACTTTACAGGGTATTCTAAAGATGCGGTGAATTTCTACAGGTAAAAGCTTAAAACTGGACCGTATGCATACTAAGCACCCAGTAAGCACTAGCTATTTTTAATCCTGAGGAACTTTCTTCAGGAACATTCTTGAATTACCTGTCACCAACTTTTCCAGTCTGGTTGATAAAAGAAGGGTTTCTGTTTTATTTTTCTGTTCGTTTGCTTTTCACAAAAGAGAGAATGTATTTTAAAACCCCTGATCAGGGGTAAATTTAGGGGCTAGACTTAACATTTAATACATAGTTTGGATTTAATTCTAATTTTAAATATGTTGTAAGACACACATAGAAAGTAAACAAACATTACCGAAACTGTAGGATCACTTGTAAAAGGAGGAAATTGCTTTCCTCTAGTATTGAATCAGAGAAGTTCTTGAAGAAGAAGAAAAGTCAGATGACTTTTTAATAAATGAAAGAATGCCCAGGAAATGCTGGCAGCCTATGCCATTCATTGGAAGCCCTGATCTCTGAGCCTGATCCCCCAAGCTGCCATTTAATCCACACATCTGCATCTTTGGGAGCATGTGGAGTCACCCTGAGAACAGCGCTGAACAACTAAATGTAGATTGAGATTGAGTCAAAATATGCTTTCAGTATAAATTAATATTACCAAAGCAACCCCCACATCTCTTTTTTTTTTTTAACAGTCTCGCATGGAGTGCAATGGTGCGGTCTCGGCTCACTGCAACCTCTGCAGTGAGTTCAAGAGATTCTCCTGCCTCAGCCTACTGAGTAGCTGAGATTACAGGCAACTGCCACTATGCCTGGCTAATTTTTGTATTTTTAGTAGAGGCAGGGTTTCACCATGTTAGTCAGGCTGGTTTCGAACTCCTGACCTCAGGTGATCCACCCACTTTGGCCTCCCAAATTGCTGAGATTACAGGCATAAGCCACCGCGCCCAGCCTCTACTTTTTATCCATAAGGAAATCTTTACCTTAGTTGAATAATTACATCAATAACCAAATCCCCTAAATCCCAAAGGTGAAGATCTCAGCAGTAATCAATGTTTCACAAGGATATAGGCGTCTTGATATTTGCTATTTCTAGAAATGTAGATTGATGCTATTTTCTTGGGCTGATCCACAACAGAGGTGTTCTTGGGCCTCTCTTTCTCTCTCTCTCTCTCTCTCTCTCTTTCTCTCTTTCTCTCTCTCTCTCTCTCACACACACACACACACACAAATACCCATTTGAGTGTGCTTTTCTTACGTCAACTCTGAGGATGTTGTCCCTGAAGAAATGAAAAAATATCACCTTTGGATCTATCCTGTGGTCAGTGGTTATGGGGTAGAAGGCTTCAAATCCCAATGGGTCAGTTAATACATCCTCAACTATATTTTATACATGAGTAACTGAGATGAATGAGAACCAGAAAGTCAACATGCTTCATTTGTTTAGGGGTATCCACAAACAGTAGAACTAGACAGTTAAGCTTTAAGTTCTTGGAAAGATCTCATTCTGAGCCCTATTTTTTTAAATAATGATAGTGATAAATGCTGGGGATTGAGCTTCTAAATCTTTCACATCAGTCAACTAACCCACTGGACCAAGGCCCATTTTAATAAATAGTAAGAGTGGCTTTTCTGTGAAGATCTGGTATGCTTTATAGAGGCTGCTTCCTTTAGTTCTTTCAGCAATCCTGTGAAGTAGATGTGATGATCTAGATGTGATTAATAAAGAAGGAACCTGAGCCTTGAGAGGTAAGATAGCTCACTTTAGTGCACAGAGAAAATAAGCAACAGGGAAGAGATTTGAAATGCCCAGAAACTAACCAATTTGCTTCTGTCTCCTAAAAATAGGACCAGAAAATTTTAACTACAAAAATTCTACCCTAATTCAAAGTGTTTTTAGATTCATTTATTGCCAATGTTGTTGTTTGTTTGTTTGTTTGTTTGTTTGAGATGGGGTCAGACTCTATTGCCCAGGCTGGAGCCTGTAGCACGATCATAGCTCACTGCAGCTTTGATCTCCCTAGGCTCAGGTGATTCTCCTACCTCAGCCTTCCAAGTACCTGGGACTATAGGTGCATGCTACCATACCCAGCCAATTTGTGTATTTTTTGTAGAGATGGGTTTTCACCATGTTGTCCTGGCTGGTCTCAAACTCCTGGGCTCAACAATCCGCCTGCCTCTGCATCCCAAAGTTCTGGATTACAGGTGTGAGCCACCACGCCCAGCCCTTTGCCAGTGTTAAAGATAATATGGATATACATTCGTTTGAGTCTGTCTTCAGACAAGAGAATAATTAGAAGATGATTTACAGTTATCAAAGACAGATCTAGTGATTTTTACTTTGATAGTACCAAAATGCTAATTTTTCTGTTGGCAGGCTCTGTTCATTTTTGCTTTACATTAATTATACTTCATTTTTATTTCAATGCTAATTTTTCTGTTGGCAGGCTCTATTTCATTTTTGCTTCATTAATTATACTTCATTTTATTTCTAATGATGCTTTTTGATGTTTCTTCCTAATAATACCACAATTTTTGTGTCTTCTTTTTTTTTAGGCTATTCCAGGTATTTCAGAGAAGGAAAAGGCTGGTAAGTTGACATTTTGTGTTTTCTCACCAATCTATTTTAGAATAAATTTCACCTTAAAATAGGCATTTTATTAAATATATAAAATGTATACATCTCATGAATATCTGGGAAAATATTGTTTAAAATCTGTAAAATAAATTTGTTTTGCTCAATATATAAGAAAAATATATGTGGTTTTCTGACATAACGACATTGTGTTACAATAAGATGTGTGTTTCTTGGGGTCTTCTTTGTAACTGCAACCACAATTGTTTTCTTAAGTAAAAGGATTAGATGTTGATCAATGTTCTGGGGAATGAATTTGGAAATTAGTTGTTAATAATTACCAAGATTTATTTTTAATCTTCATTACTTAGTAGCCACAGAAAACGATGTAATTGATGCTTAAAGCTGATGCTCTACTATCAAAATGACAGTGACGAAGCAATGTGACCAATTGTATTGAAGAAAAAATTATAGTGTTTTTCTAATTATAATTATTTAACAGTATTATGGGAAATGGACAAGGGCTGATGAGAAATGAAAATATGAAAAATTAGACTTGGATTGGTAGATCTATGTGCTTTTAAAAAATCATACTTACGTGTTCTGTGTAATAAAAACTAAAACAGATTAAAAGTATATTATCTAACTTGAAGTACATCACTCAGTTTGTAGACATTTGTGATTTTTAAGAAGTATATTAAAAGTTTATAGTCTCATGTTAGAGAAAACATTAAAATTTCAAGTGCCTTTACACTAAAGCATTAGAGTTTGCCTGGCGGGGGTGTTTGCTGTCTATGTCAGTGATCTTATTTTTGCTGCTAGATAGTTTTTACACAGAATTTTCCTAGCTCGTGTCCTTCTGTGAGCTAAACTTTTCTCTCATGTTTAGGCTGTATCTCATTTCTCCACTTCGATAATGTTGAAAAGTATCTCTTCAGAATAGAGGGAAAATATTGAACTGGCATCACATGTCAGCTCAAGAGAAAAATCACGCAACATAACAATGTACTAATACCATAAGGATTAATATCAGGTTGGTACAAAAGCAATTGTGGTTTTGGCCATTGAAAATAATTGCGGTTTTGGCCATTACTTTGAATGGCCAAACCGCAATTATTTTTTCACCAATATATTTACCATATATTGAATGGATTTAAAGCGTTAAATCTCCAATATCTTAAATAGCTGTCCCCATGATTCACTGCAATTTAAACAAAGTATATAACAGAACAAAGTTGTCATCCTATTCCACAATGTCAGCAAGTTTTCTCATACCCCAAGAACAAAATGAGGATGTGAGTTGTTGGCTGGTCAGGAGGGGAAAGAAGGAATGGAAATGCCATGGCTGGAGGAGATAGGAAGGCAGAGAGTTCTCTTTCTCCTCTTCCAGTTAAATGGCTTCAGTTTGACAGGGAGAAGCTCTTCACTCTTCAAGCTTCTCAAATATTTTGAAAATATTTTTATTTTTATTTTTATTAGCATTATTATTATTATTATTATTTTTTGAGATGGAGTCTCACTCTGTTGCCCCAGGCTGGAGCACAGTGGTGTGATCTTGGCTGACTGCAACCTCCACTTCCCAGGTTCAAGTCATTCTCCTGTCTCAGCCTCCTGAGTAGTTGGGATTACATGCCTACACCATCACGCCCGGCTAACTTTCGTATTTTTAGTAGAGACGGGGTTTCGCCATGTTGGCCAGACTGGTCTCAAACTCCTGAGCTCTCTGGTGATCTGCCCGCCTCGGCCTCTCAAAGTGCTGAGATTAGAGACATGAGCCACCGCATCAGGCCTGAAAATATTTTTAAAACAAAGAACTAGAGAACATAAATATAATGTAACCACTACTTTTTATCATAATCCTGGAAATTTTCCACCTTAAGAACAACACTTTTTTTAATGAAATTAATTGTCCCTCCTTATATAATCTTTTTGAGTCATTTCTATATGGCTGAGGCACACATAAAAGAATCAAGAGGTTAAATTTTCAGAGGTTCTATAAGATAACATATATGACCTCTACAGGCCCCAGGCACCTGGATGCCCCATCTCAGACACTTAGCAACTCAGGATGGACTGATTTGAGCAAAACCTGACTTTTGCTCTTTATGAAAATATTAGAATGACTGAAATTTACTCCAGAATGAATTTTTATTTAGATTTCTAGAGGATATGCTGATATATTTAGGAGAAAATGTAATTTTGTTTGATCATTTAAGTATAAGAAAGAAAGGATCTTTTTTCAAGGCACTCAATTTACCTGTCAAGACAAATGCTCATGTTTGAATATTTTATGAATCATAGTAACAAATATGACAATTCAAAAGAGAATGTGATTTATTTCAAAAGTTTTAAGTACCATAACAGTCTAAGCAATATAATTCTATTTCTAAACTTTATTATTTGAAACATTAAAAATATTTTGAGTGTACTATATACAAATATAAATCTTGCTTCTTTCATGTCTTTATGAATCTCTGTTTGTAAGCTTCCACTAGACAGAGGAATGGCCATGAAGGCAGGAGACCCACTCAATCTTCTCGGGGTTAATTGAACTCTTAAATAGGATTAAGCTTCATACCCACCCCTAAGGCCTGTCTTTTTTTTTTTTTTTTTTTTTTTTTTTTTGGATCTTTCTAAATGAATGTAGCCTATTGTTCTTTATTAAGAAAGTCTATTTTTAATCTGTGTGACCTCTCATCCAAGCTAACTGGAACCAACTCTACCAGGCTTTGTGAAGCTCTAAATTAAATCATTTGGGCACATTCCATTAATCATCCTTGAATTGCAGTTGTGTGATTCCTCTGTGTGTGCTGTAAGTAACTGTCTTCTATTCTGATCCATGTTTCTATGATAATACAGCTCAGTGGGATCATTTCTGCTATTTGTCTCCTGCCCTGTGATGACAAAAATCTTCAAAGGGAGGCAAGTTTGAAACAGCCTTTTATGGATTCAGTCATTTCAGAAATACGTACTGAACAGCAACATGTTCTAGGCATTCTATTAGGTTCTATTGAGAAAGCAGTTATGAATAAGGATGGTCTCTGCCCCACAGGAACTCAAACTCTAGTTGGAGGATATCCCATCAGGCAGGCATCCCTCCTTCTCCTCCTCTCAATTGAGAATTTCTTAATCCTGCTTATTCAAAAAGCTTCCCAAGCAAGGAATCAAATCAAAATATTGTCTTCAGGAAACTCTGGGTGAGAATGTGCCTTTTCAGGATCTGAGACAGAATCCAACCAACTTCTTTTTTAAATAATCAGAACTAATCACACAAGTATCGATATGTATAATTATATCCCATAAATATCATTTTCACATAACTTCGATCGTGTCGCTAGAGTTCGTATGCTTCAACCTTTTTTGGCACCAGGAACCAGTTTCGCAGAAAACAATTTTTCCATGGAGTGCAGTGGGGGATGGTTTCAGGATGAAATTGTTCCACCTCAGACCTCAGATCATCATAAGGAGCGCACAGCCTAGATCCCTCACATGCGCAGTTCACAACAGGGTTCATGCTTCTGTGAGAATCTAATGCTGCTGCTGGTTTCACAGAAGGCAGAGCTCAGACCGTAATGTTCGCTTGCCCACCGTCCATCTCCTGCTGTGCAGCCCAGTTCCTGACAAATCACAGACCGGTACTGGTCCAGGGCTTGGAGGTTGGGGACGCCTGCTCTAAAGAGTGTATCAGTCCCGTTGGAATATCCTCCAGCATATCTGCTTCCTATCTGTATGGCCTTGAGCAAGTCACTTAACTTCCTCATCTCCCTCATTTCCAGACCACAAATCAAGAATCTGCCATGCTGTTGATGTAAGGCAACAAGGCTTGGTACAAACCAAGTCCCGAAAAATGGTAGCTGTTTTTTATGATAGTTAGTTGGTGCCTACAGGCCGAATAGACACTGGCTGCGTCACTGACGTCCTTGTGTGTTCCACAAGTCCTAAAATGCTTCCTCGTGGTACTAACAGCTGAACAGCTCTCCACGTGGAAGAAGAAAGAGATCACTTTCTCCATGAGTCTTCTGAATGAGTTAATTCAAAGGTTGTCACAGTATAGACAGAGTTGATCACATTTTAACCTCCCTTTAGAAATTTTTTTGGTCTATTAGACTGAAATTCTCTCTCAGAAACAGATAATATTTGATTTTCAAAAAAAGATTAGTTTCAGAGAAATGTTCATGCTGTGTCCCATTTTCCTGTGACTCCATTATCCTCCTGTATCCACAGTCCCTGAGGTCATCAGATCCTATCTACCCAGCAAGCCAGCTAGGCGCCTGGGTTCTCCTGCCGCTCCCAGGTTCCTCCACCTTCTGCACACGGTGTGTCAGCACTGCCCTCTCGTCACCCTTGCCCATCCCTCTGGCCACTGCTTTCATGCAGGGCTTCACTTTCCGCTGGACTTTCACAAAAGCATCCAGAACTGGTTTCCCTGACTGAACCTATCATTACACCAGTCTATTATCTGCACTGTCACCAGAGTTATCTTTGAAAATATATAACCTGATCGCGTCAGTTCCTGTGCCAACATTTTATCTGTCTCTTTATTAGCCATAGAATAAAATTAAACTGTCATGGCTGGTCATTTGTCCATTCAGGAGTGACCTGTCCATACATAGCCATTTGTTATTCAGCTGCAGTATTATTCATTGGACCGGACACATGTCTGTGTTACCCTTCAGATCCACCCTCTGCCCTAATTCTCCCTGCCTCTGTGCCCTGGGAGGCCAACTGATGTGAACTAAATCAAAGCACTTCCCTGCTTTCTGTCTTCCCCATTCAGCCATGAGGAGGACGAGAAGCTGTAGCAGGAGACTGGGGGAGGGGGATGGTGGGACAATGAGGTTGGAAAGTTTGTTTTTAAATTTAATTTAGTTTTATTTTATTACGTTCTGTGGTACATGTGCAGGATGTGCAAATTTGTTACATAGGTAAACGTGTGTCACGGTGGTTTGCTGCATCTGTCAAGCCATCACCTAAGTATTAAGCCCAGCAGGCATTAACTCTTTTCCCTAGTGCTC